GCGGCTTCTTATTTTGCCAGCTGCTAGTATCCCTGCCTCTGCCTTTGACACTGACTGATTGTCCATCTCTGTCTCTGCTACATACGAACTAACTTCTGAGCAGGTAACCCCACTAGGTCATGAATCCTAGATTTGGCCACACCCACTCTGACAGAATTTCTCCCCTTGTAATAATAATGTGATTATCATCCCTCTCGCACAGATGGGATAGCTCTTAAACCCAAATCCCTGCAAAGCAGTTGGATAAATATTTAACCAAGAATCAGAGGAATTGGGAAGCAGTTCTTGAACTGGCTGTACAAATGGCAGTTGGAAAATTTTTCTGCTTGAGAGGTCTAAAAGCTGCTCCTGGCCACGTTTCCTCTTCAAAAGTTGCAGATAAACACTTACGTACATGCAGCGCTTGATTGAGTTCGGATGGAAACAAACCCTTCTGATACGGTGCAGGCCTCTGGGATTTTGAGTCATTCATGGTTTGGATTTCAGTCCTCCATTACTAGCTTGGTGTCAGGTCACCTCACTAGTCTGTTTCTCTATTTTATCACCTGTCAAGTAGGGTGATGAAACACCTGAGTCTAGTGTGGTAGCATAGCCCTACTGATACCTGGGGGGAGGTTAGTTCTTCCTTTGGGCCTGTCTGGTACATTGCGGGATGTTTAACCGCATCTATGTCTTTGACTCACAAGATGTTAGTAGCTTCCACCCTCAGTTGTGACAAGTCTTCAGACATTGCCACATGCCCAGTGGGGGGCAAAAATCACTCCCAGTTTAGACCCTCTGGCCTCAGCTGTTGATTTAAATGCATTGGGGGTTCTGAGTGCTCAGCACAGTTATAGATATAGCCGAGGGTCTTTAAAAAGGTCACAGAAAATGCATATTATGAAATAATTATGCAAAGATTTCAGAATGTTTGCACCCAAATTAACTCATATACTAGTTTCATTTCTTTCCAGCATCATTTGGGAATCCTACATAGAAAGTACTCTAGAAAAGGGGCCTTTCCACTGTGAGATAGCAAAACCAGTTGCCCACCATGTCAAACCATCTGAAATACATTAAAGTGACCCCAAAGCAAGCAGCCTTAGAAGTTCGTACAAATGTCCAAACGATAGGAAACTAGCAGCGTTCACGGAGCGAGCCCTGAGCTTCGTCTCAAGCCAGACTTGGCTGTTGGGATCCTGAACATTCTTTGCAGAGCTGCCTGAAGAGAGTCACTTGGCTAATTGTTCAGCCAGTCCCTCAGCTACTCAGTGGCATGATAGAAAGCCAAGGGCCAGATTTTCTTCCCTGACACAGTCCAGGGCCACGGGGTGCCAGGGGACGGGTTAGAGCAAAATTGAACTTCTCCCTGCTGGGTTGTGTTTGATATTTACATGCCTGAAGTCATTTCATTCTAACCTCTGCAGGGTGCAGCTATGAATGAATTCTCTCAGTCAAGCACTCTCTAGGCCAGTCGCAGATAGCCTGGAAGCAATGCCACCACAGTTTCAAGCCAGTCAGTCTTTTTACTCCAAGGTCTATATCCTTCTCACTTCTTCAGGCTGTCAAACAAGAACACACCAGGGAAGCAGGGGGCATATACGTACCCTCCCTAACCTGGCTAGTTTCAAGGTGGTTAGGAGGTGTTAGCAATTTGGTGCTTCTCAAACAGTCGGGTGGGGGGCACTCCCCTGGATACCTTGTTAAAATGCAGAATCTGACTGAGTTGGTTTGGATGAGTCTAAGATACTGCATTTAAAACATTTTTTTATTTTTTATTTCTTTTAGGTTTTTGTGGTAGGGTGTGAGCACTTACTGGAAAGGAGAGTGATAGAGTCAGAGAGAAAGTGAGCAATCAACCCTCTCCCAGGAGACATTGCCATAACACAAGCTCTCCTTTTTCCTTCTCTCAGAATTTTGGGGACACACACACACACACACACACACACACACACACACACACGTGCCTGGTGTGATTTCAAGACGTCAGGTCCAAGACTTGAACTGTGGTTGGCCATGTGGGAGTTCAGCACCTTAACCACTATGCCACCTGCTGGCCTCAAGATTCGGCATTTCTATAACTAGTTCCTAAGTAATATCAGTGCTACTGGTCCCTGGACCACACTCTCAGACTTCAGCTGTTTCCCTTAGTATGCTTTCAAGGTCCTTCTGTGCTGTGGCATTTATCCGTACTCCACCGTGGCCTCTTAAAGCTGAGCAGTCTGTTGTATGGATACATTGCACTTAAAACATCTTTCTCTTTTTATTTATCCAATGGTCCATTGATGGACATTTGAGTTGCCTCCACCTTTGGCTGTTAAAAATAAGGCTGCTTTGCATATCTGTGTACGAGTTTCTGTTTGAACACTGGTTTTCTGTTCTCCTGGGCAAGTACATGGGAGTGGAATTGCTGGGTCACACGGCAACCTATGTTTAACTGATTGAGCAACAAAGTGCCACAGTAGCTGCCCCCGTTACATTCCCTCCAGTACTGCATGACTGCTTAACTTCTCCTCATCCTCACCCTGTGTGTTGCTTTGTTATGTTTTTAAGTAGCTTTCTTAATGGGTATACTATTGCTATAGGGTGCGTGTGCTCGCTGGAGAGACAGAGAGACAGGAAGTAAGAAATCACCCCCCAGGAGAGATGTCCATGCCACAATCCCTTCTCCTCGATTCTCCTCTCAGGATTTTGGGCACACACACAAACGCACTTGGCATGAATTTTTTTTTTTTTGAGAGGTTTTTACTATAGGGCGCGTGCGCTCTCCAGACCGACAGAGACAGAGAGACAGAAAGCGAGAATTCACCTCCCGGGGGGGATGGCCATGCCGCAATCCCTTCTCCTCCGTTCTCTTGGGATCTTGGGCACGCACACATATGCGTCTGGCGTGAGTTTTAAGCCACCGGGTCCGGGATGCGAACTGCGGTCGAATACATGGGAGTCCAGCGACATAGCCATTATGCTAACTGCTGGTTCCTTAGCATGAATTTTAAACCACCGGATCTGGGACTCAAACCGTGGTCGACTACATGGGAATCCAGTGACGTAATCAGTACGCCATCTGCTGGTCCCCCATGATTCTTTTATGAGCTTCAAAATGTAATTTCCAGTCTTCATTTTTAGCTCACTATTACATGGCTGCTCCTTGCCATGTCTTAGAAGGACATAAATCTTATCCGATCAGGGCTCCATCTTTCTGATATAAGTTAAACTTAACCACTTCCTTAGAGGCCCTCCAAACGAAGCTCCACTAGGGGAAGTCCAGCAGGTGGCAGGGTGGCACTGGGATGCCACATGGTTGACTGTGTGGTTTGAGTTTCAGACATAGCAGCTTGAAAAACATGCCAGGCACATGTGTGTGCATGCCCAAGATCCTGAGAGAAGAATGGATTGCTAAGTGGCCACACCCCTGGCTGGGGTGATTGCTCACTTTCCCTCTTTCTGTGGTGAGCACACATGCCCTATAGCAAAAAAATCTAAAAAAGGAAAGAAAAGAAAAAAAAAACTGTAGTGGGGGTTAGGGCTTCAACCTGTGGCTTTTGGGGGAGCAGAAGTATTCCGTCTGTTCCAAGGGGGACTCTGTCAAATCACACAGTAACAGGTCGAACGAAGTGTTGTAGAAACGCAAGATGCGTAAGTTCTCCACATCTGCCGTCCAACACACGTCAGGGTTAAGAAGAGTGTGCTGTACACTTCAAAATCTTTGAAGAGGGTAAATCGCATGTTCAGAGTTCTTACTACAATAAAATAAATATTTAAATTAAAAAATTAGAGAATCTAAAAGGACAGACCGGGAGGGGTACGTAGATCATGTTGTCCCTATTTCTCCAGTCTTTTGCTTGTGCCCGTGTGTGTTTGCAAGCCTATCTATGTATTTAGTTACATGCAATTGTTTTTGTTTTTGTTTTTTCTCTTTTTTTAGTTTTGCTATAAGGTGCACTCCTGAGAGAGAGAAAGGGAGAATTATCCCCCATGGGGAATGGCCATGGCACAATCCTTTCTCCTCTGTTCTCCTCTTGGGATTTTTGGCACGCATGCACACCGGCTTAATGTGATTTTCAAGCTGCTGGGTTCAGGACTTGGACTGCCCAGGTGATCATTGGTGGGATTGGTGCCTTAACTCTGCACCACCTGCTGGTCTAGTTCCCTACAATTTGATCAGTTTAGGCGCTTTTTCATTGTGCTGCATGACTTTACAATAATCAAGGCTAGATAGCCAAATTTAAGGTCGTTTCATTAAGTCTCTGAAAACGGCCATGGTCTCAGCCAAGTTTGCCTTTTGACAAAGGAAACCTGTGCAAGGCACCATGGTTATGGCAATCCATGCCCCCTCTGTATGCAGAAATGAGCACAGTGTTTCATGGGAGCCCAGGAAGCAGCAGCCAAAGCTCATTTAGAAACAAGGGTCTGCCCTAGCCATGACAGACTGTGAGCTGATGATTTGGAAAAAAATTCTTTAAAAGAATGAGCCCTAGTGGGCCCAGCAGGTGGCGTAGTTATTAAGGTGCTGGACTCCCACATGGTTGGCTGTGGTTCAAGCCCTGGACCTCATGACTTGAAAATCATGCTGGGCACGTGTGCACGCATGTTCAAAGTCCCGAGAGAAAAATGGAGGAGAAGGGATTGCAGCATGGCCATTGCCCTGGAGGATGATTTCTCACTTTCTCTCTTGGTCTCTCTCCAGCAAGTAGTAAGTATTAGGTGTGGGCCAGCAGGTGGCATGGAGGTTAAAGTGGTTGAATCCTATATGGCTGACTGTGTGGTATGAGTCCCAGACCCAGGGGCTTGAAAATCATGCTGGGCACATGTGCATGTGTGTGCATGCCCAAAATCCTGAGAGGAAAAGGGATTGTGGTGTGGCCTCCCCTGGGGGACGTTTCCTCAATTTCCCTCTCTCTCTCCCTCTTGTCTCTCTCCAGCAAGTGCACATGCTCACAAAGTAAGAAGTAATAAGTAAATAAATTTTATCGGATGAAAGCATGAACACTTCAGACTTGTTTTTCCCTCTATCCTCTCAGGAGGGGTCCCCATGGAAAACCTGGCAGCCTATGGCTCATCGAAGGCAGCTCTGACCATGTTTTCGTCGGTTATGAGGCAAGAGCTTTCCAAGTGGGGAGTCAAAGTGGCCCTCGTCCAACCTGGAGGCTTCCGAACAAGTAGGTGTCTGAGCCGGAGGACCCGCCGTGTTCCCCTGGGCAGGACCCTCACGGTCTGAAAGAGCATAACTCAAAGGCTCAGTGGTGTCCAAGAGGGACATCCCAGACCTGAGTTATCGCAGCAAAAATATCGGTATTCAGTAACCACTGGCAGTAGGAGAGAGTGAAGGCTCCATTCTGATTTCTGCAGATGATTTGGGCATTTTAAAGAGAAGATGAGGAAGGGGGTAGGCGGGACTCCGTAGAGTCAGACATGTGGGAAGTGGGAAGGTGTGGTCAGTGTCAGACCAATGAGGCCAGCGTGTCTGTGCCGGCAGTGACAGAAACTGGGATTCCATCCTTCTGCAAAGACTGGGAGACATGGGCCTCACCCACCTTGCTGATGCCACGTCAATGCACCCATGTCCTTAAAAGAGATGTTTCTGAATTGCAAGAGATATGCCTTTACGACTGCAAGTGCTTAATAAATGCTCCAAGAAAGGGAGGTCAGGGCCTACCACTGGGGGTACATTGACCGGAACAGATGGTACATTTCCCCAGCAGTGCTGAGCTTTCTCAGGCAGGCTTCTTAAGGAGAGGTCAGTGCTGTCCAAAGGACAGGCCCCTATGCTGTTAGAAGTGTGCTGGAGTTTGGTCAAGTCTTTTAGTGCAGGGGTTTGGCCAGAGTATCAAGTTCTGCAGTTCTCAGTGTCTGCCAAAGAGGGGTTGGGGTAAGTGGGCTCTTCTAAGAATTGAGGGGCGGACCAACTCCATAGTGGAAGCTGGATCTCATGTGACTGGCCAAGGTTCAAGCCCTGGCATTAGTGGCTTGAAAGTCATGCAGGGTACATATGCATATGCCCAGGATCCTAATGGGATAGGGAATTGGAGGAAAAACGATAGCAATGTGAGCAGGCCCTGCTGGGTGCTTTTTCTCTCTCTCTCTAGCCCATGAATGTATGCACACACTTTCTGGCCTAAAAAGAGAAAAAGAAAGAAAGAAAGAGAGAGAAGGAGGGAGGCAGGGAGGTAAGGATGGAAGGAAGAAAGGAGTCAAGGGGCAGGTGCAGTCGTCCAGTGTCCAGTGGCTGACCACCTGCCTGCTTCCTTCCATGAAGGAATGGAGTCAGCCACATGCTACAAGCAAGTGGAGGACATGCTAGGTCTGAATCCACGTCCCTTAATGCCCCCTCAGATCAAGGACTTTGCGACATGCACATTCCCTTCTGGTGTAAGTTGTGTCCGACCCATGGAACCACAGCTCAAAAATGGTCTGAAATGGTCCTGATCTCACCAGTTTTGATCATTTTCACTGCCCCACACAGACCTCTCCAGCAATATGTAACCCATTAGTTTCAGATTGGGTGTGGTGACTTTTTTTATGTGGAGTTTACTTTTATTTAAGTTTAAGCAAATATTCTGGGTAACATTTATTCGTCTCTCATTTCATCACCCAAGAGGGTTTCTTTTCCCCAGTTTCTTTGTGTTTCGAAACAAGGTTTTTCCTCCTTCCCTCTGAAGACTATGGCCCTCCCACCAGTCTCACACTCCCAGGAAGATATAGCCATTTTCTCTCTTCTTCCCTAAATATCTGAACTCTGGGTAGAGCCAGATTACCCCAAGGCTCAGTCCCTAATTCTATGCCAACAAACATTTAAAACCAGTGATTTAAATGAAAATGTAAAAAGCGTGTCTAATAAAAGAACTCAAACTGGAAGGTATTGCTGGCACACTAAAGAAGTAACCCTAAAGGTTTGAATGGGAGCCTACATACACAGGATAACATCTAAAAAGAAACATTTCACTTTTGGCCGGAGATGTTTGGCAGCTGGGAACCTCTCCGGGTTCTGGAGAACGCACAAGACTCGGTGAGAGGAAGGGAACCCAGAGAAAGGGACATCAGCCGTCCAGGTCGACCAGAGCAGTGGAAATGGGGTTAAGGTGAAGTCTGAAAAGGAGTTTCCAATGTGGGGACTCCCAGGGTGGGGTGGAGAACCTAGGGGAGGCGAGAGAGAAAGGGAGTGGGTCAAAGATGAAGCCAAACATGCTGGACGAAGATTCTGGCAGAGAGTGAGATGAAAGCTGGCTGAAAGCGGGTGTCAGAGGGAAACGATGCATTTGCCTTTATACCTGGCAGGAGGTTTGAGGGCTAGGTGACATAGCCCAGAGAAAAATTCCAACACACAGATGTAAGATTCCATTTGGACAAGAGAGCAACCCTGTGGTTAAGTTATGGTTTCAAGAATTCAGTATCATTGTTATTTCTGGAGAACCCACATTTTTAGCTATTTCCTCCTGATATTGTTGATCTTATTTTTTGAATTGAGTAACATATCATATATCATTACTCACATGTAGTTTAACAAGTTATCATAACACTCATGTCCTTAACATTCAGATAAAAAAATAAAACATTACTGGGGCCAGCAGGTGGTATAGTGGTTAAGGTGCTGGACTCCCACATGGTCCACCACGGTTTGAGTCCCAGACCTGGTAGCTTGAAATACGCTGGGCACATGTGCATCAAGCCCAAAATTCCAAGAGAAGGGAGGAGAGGGGATTGCGGCATCACCATCCCTCTGTAGGGTGATATCTTGCTTTCTCTCTCTCTGGCAAGTGCATGCACCCTATACCAAAAATCTCTCAAAATAAATAAATAAATAGAAAAAACAGTACTGCACCCAGAAGTCTCCTGTATTATCCTCTCTCAGAATAGCCCTCTTCATCTCCCATTGGTAATCATTCTCTTACTTTTTGCAATAGTCTTGTCTTGTCTTTTCTTTCTCTCTCTCTTTCTTTCTTTCTGTCTGTCTGTCTTTCTTTCTCTCCTTTCTTTATCTTTCTTTCTGTTTTTGCTATAGGGCATGTGTGCTTGCCGGAGACACAAAGGGAGACAGAGAGTGAGAAGTCTACTCCCCAGGGGGTATGGCAATGCCACAATCCCTTCTCCATTCTCCTTTCAGGATTTTCGGCATTCATGCACCTAACTCTAGCCTGAGTTTAAGCCACTGGGTCCGGGACTCGAACCGTTGTTGACTATATGGGAGTCCAGTGACGTAACCATTACGCCATCTGCTGGTCCCTCTTTGCTTTTCTTTACAGTGCTACATCCATACATGCATCCCCAAATAATATTTTTGAATTTTGAATGGAATCAACATATATATATGAAGGTATTTCAAAATGTTCACCAGAAAATAGAAGTAGAGTAGTTTGTTTTGGTGCAAAGAAAAGTTTGAAATCCATGCATAACTTTTTCATACTACTCATTTCCATGAACTTTTTGAGGACCCCTTAATATTCTTTCCTGTCTAATTTCTTTCATTCAACATTATGAGTTTACAGTTCATCTGCCTTGTGAATAGTTACAGTTTGCTTATTTTCATTGCTTTGTAGTAGTCTATGAACATGCCACATTTTTGCACTGTCAATGAGATAGTTGGGTCATTTCTATTGGGCCATTGGAAAAGTCATCACACATTTTTGCATAGAAAAGCATAGAAAAATGTGTCTTGACTTTTCTGATGACCTAATAGTTTGGGACAATTATGAACATGGCACATGCACTGTGGTTATTACGTCCATGAATTTCCCTATGACAGATACCCAGGAGTGAACTGATTACAGCAGAGTGTATTTTCAGCTTCCCTGGGTAATACCAAACTGTTTCCTAATATTCTGTTCCAATTTGTTCTCCCATCCTTTCTATACGTGCTCTTGTCTTCGCCACAACTCTGGATGAGGTAACCTTAAGAGGTATTAATTTCCAGATGAGAGTGTTGAGGTGCAACGGGGAACTTGCCCCAGTGGGATCTGGCTGATGGCTTTGTCACCAATGAAGAAAGCTTTGGAAACTCTGAAGAACACACTGACAAGAGTGGCCAGAAAGTCCAGGAATCATTTCAAAGGGAGGCAGGTGGAGAGGAAGAGGGGATTCCCCAGCCCAGGAAGGCAGAGGCTGGGGAGAGGTGGCAGGAGGAACCATAGTTCATGCAAACATGTTTTTTAAGACACTGAAGCCTCCAAAGTAATTGTCTGGGTAATCGTTTCTTTAAGTATAGAGTAGTGCCTTCATGAAAAGAAACAAGCAATTGAAACTCTGTTTGCATTTCCATGAGTATAATTGGATTTCACTGGCTTATATTTCATAGCCAGCCTCCCCTGCAGTCCTGATACCCTGGAGTCACCCAAGCTAGCCAAGGTTCATCCCCTTAGATCCCAGAGCAATTCCACACTTTGCAGGAGAGTGCAGGGGTGACTGCAACCTTTTTGGAAAGTAATGTGGCAGTAGCTATAAAAATTCAAAATGCATGTGCCTTTTGATCAGGCCGCATTTTGGGGATTCTAGCTGACAAGAATACAAATGGATAGACAGTGCAAGTCGGTTTACTGCGGCAGGCACTTGTCTTTCATTCTTAAATTTTGCCAGAGCGTATGTGTGCTGGCTGGAGAGGAAGACAGAAAGTGAGAAAGCACCTGATGGGGCATGGTTAGGCCTCAGTCCCTTCTCCATTTCTCTCTCCTTTCAGGATTTTGGCACATGCTCATAAGCCTGATCTGCGCAGGACTTGAACCACGTGGTTGGTCGTGTAGCTTCCAGCAGCACTAATGACTTCACCATTGGCTGGCCCCTACAGCAGTCAGTTCTAATGGTGAAACCTAGGAACAGCTACCAAGTTATTTGATAGGAAAGTGGCCTGTTAAAAAGCTGTCCACTGGATAATTCCGTGACTCTGATTTAAATATATAGCCATCGATCATTAATGCTTTATTTTAATTTTTTAAAGATATTTTTGCAATAGGGTGTGTGTGCTCACTGGAGAGACAGAGAGAGACTGAGACAGAAAGCAAGAAATCTAACCCCCAGGGAGGATGGCCACCTGGCAATCCCTTCTCCTCTTGGGATTTTGGGCATGCAAGCACATGTGCCCAGCATGAGTTTTAAGCGGTTGGGTCTGGGACTAGAACTGTGGTCAACTATGTGGAAGTCCAGTGATGTAACCATTATGCCAGATCATTAATGGCTTAAACCTACAGCCATTGACCAGGAAGGGAGGTCTGTGATTTATTACTGAACAAAACAGAACAACCCCCCACCTGAAATTCCTGGAAAATAATGCATACTGTCATCCTTTTTGCTCCTGTTCTTTCCTGGTTAAAAAAAAAGGGGGTGGGGATAAAAACCATCTATGTATAGGAGGATCTTTACAAAGTGTATGGAAAATGCATATTATGAGAAAACTATTCACAGATTTCATTGTTTTTACACTGAAATTATCCTCCTACTTAAAAAAAAAAAAAAGAATTCTGCCAGAGGGTGTGTGTGCTTGCCAGAGACAAAGAGAAGAGGGAATGTGAGAGGGAGAAATCACCCCCCAGGAGGGTGTGATCATGCCACAATCCTGCCCCCGTTTCTCCATTCTGTTGGGATTGGGGGCACACACACACACACACACACACACACACACACAACTGGTGTGGTTTTCAAGCTACCAGGCCTAGAGCTCAAATAGGGTGGTCAGCCATGGAAGATCTGGCTTTCTTTTTGGAGAGGTTTTTTTTTTTTTTTCACTATAGGGCGCGTGTGCTCGCCAGACAGACAGAGCGAGGCATAGAGGAAAAAAGCGAGAAATCACCCCTCAGGGGGGATGGTCACGCTGCAATCCCTTCTCCTCCATTCTCCTCTCGGGATCTTGGCCACACACACACACACACGCGCCCGGCGTGAGTTTTAAGCCACCGGGTCCGGGACATGAACCACGGTCGACTACATGGGAATCCAGTGACATAGCCATTACGCTAATTGCTACATCCCTGAGGCCATAGCCAGCCCTATGCCCATACTTTAATTTTTTCACAAATTCTTCAAAGTCCCTTTATATATACATATATATATATTTGCATGAAAAAGGAGGAACTATAGAAGGTCACGCAAAAGCGTTAGTTACCTCAGAGAGTGTTTTCTTTTTCTTTTTTAAAAAGAATTATTTAATTTTACATATTGGTATTATTTTTTAATTTGCTATAGGGCACATGTGCTTATGAAAGAGAGAGAGAGAGACAGAGAGAGAGAGAGAGAGAAAGTGAGAAAGCAAGCTAACAGGGGGTTTCTGTTCTGCTTTGCTCGGTAATAAATCATAGGTCTGGGACGCGAACCAAATCAGCCATGTGCGAATGTAACTCCTTAACCACCATGCCACCTGCTAGCTCCCCCTCAGGGGAGATTGTTTTTAATTTTAAGAATATATACATGTTTTTGAGACTAGCAGTTGGCATAATGGCTATGTTGCTGGACTCCCATGTAGTCGACCACAGCTCGAGTCCCTGGACTCAGATCTGGTGGCTTAAACTCACGCCGGGCGCGTGTGCATGCGTGCCCAAGATCCTGAGAGGAGAGTGGAGAAGGGATTGCAGCGTGACCATCCCCCCGGGGGTGATTTCTCACTTTCTGTCTATCTGTCTCTCTCTGTCTTTCTGGCAAGTACACACGTTCTATAGCAAAAACCTCGCCAAAAAAAAAAAGAATATATACATGTTCTTATTCTTCACTTTATATAATGAGAAGGTACTGCTGCTATATTTTAAAGTAAATATATATCATTTAATTGTATATAATAAGCATATTTTTCCTCTATATTAAAAATGTTTTTATATTTAGTCCTATGTAATTTATGTATTACATTTTAAATCTATTTTAAAATTATATCAAAATTATGTTTAATATACATTAAAATTAAAATTATTTTATCATATACATAAAATTTTCAATTATGTATGAATTTAAAATACAGAAACATGCATTACTCCTATATTAAAACTTATATATATATGTATGTAATGCATACTGTGTTATATATTATATATGAAATATATAATATTACACATTACCTTATGTATTATATTGGGTCATTGGAAAAGTCATGATGTATTTTTCTGTTTTCTACACAAAAATGTGTCATGACTTTTCCAACAACTTGGTATCCCTAATAGTCACCAAAAAATATATATATAGGACCAGCCTGCTGCCATAGTCCATAGTGTCCCTGACCAGTGCTGGAAGTCATGTGACTAACTGCAGGTTCTGATCCCTGGGTTGGCCTGAAAACACATGGGCATGCACATGGGCACCCAAGATCCTGAGGAGCTAGAGAGCCGGGAAAATGGAGTTGTGGTGTAGGAGACCCTACCAAGTATGTTCTGCCTCGCTCATGTGTGTACACACACACTCTATCAAAAGTAATACATATCTGGGGGCCAGCAAGTCACATGGTGGTTAAGGTCACTGGACTCCCACATGGCTGCCTGCGGTTAGGGTCCTGGACCTGGTGGCTTTCTCACTTTCCTTCTCTCTCTCTCTCTCTCTCTTACTTTGTCCCTTTCTGGTCAAATTTAAATAAATAAATAAATAAAGTTAAATAAAATAATTAAAAAATACCTATTTTATAGTCACATGAGAATGATTGTGGCAGCAGTATTTAAAAAAGCCCCAATTGAAAACAACACATATGTCCATCACAGTGCAACAGATAAATCATTTCTAGCACATTTCCACAGTGGAAAAGCTAGGCAGCAAGAAGAGTGAACACTTAACCCAAGGAAGGGTCTCTTAGGCTGTGTGGGGTAGAGAGGCTGATGCCAGTGTGTGCATACCACGATTGCATTTCCATGCAACTTTTAAAATGAGGCAAAACGAATCTATGCTGTTAATCAGGGCAGTGGCTACTGGGAAGGGGGCTGCCTTCTGGTCTAGTCCTGTTTTGTTCTTAATCTGGTTGCTGGTTATTCCAGCTCTTCAGTTTGTGAAACACCCAGTCATCTGTGCACTTTTCTGTATGGACGCTTAAAATGATAAGAAATTCCATTTATATAAAGCACGTAATTTAAAAGCACATGCAAACAGACACCTGTCCTTTCAACTGAGGCCAATTCACAAGCGCCTGCTTTTCTGACTCACTCGGGCTTCCCCAGCACCTGACTCTTCCTCTTATCCTGTATCTCAGACATCACAGGCGGGAGTGACACGTGGGACAAGCTGGAGAAGAACATTCTGGACCACCTCCCTGCGGAGGTGCAAGAGGACTATGGCCAGGACTACATCTTGGCACAGCGGAATATCCTCAGCTTCATGGACAAGTATTCGAGCGCGGACGTTTCCCCGGTGCTCCGTGATGTGCAGCACGCTGTCATGGCTAAGAGCCCCTCCGCTCTTTACACGCCAGGGAGATCGGTGTATCTGTGGCTTTGCTTGGCCTCCTTTTGCCCCACGGCTGTATTTGATTATATTTGTGAAAACGGATTCGGCCCTAAAAAGGCCATGCCCAGAGCTCTAAGAATGCCCTGGAAGAATAAGGCCATGTAGACTGTAGAAAGCCTCAGGGAGTGGGCAATGGAAATGAGAAGGAAATGAGAAGGAAATGGGAAGGAGAGGGAAACCGGGAGCTTCCCATTAAAGTAATTTCCTACTTCACATTCCTTGTGAGATGTGTTGATTGAATGGTGGGAAGGCTGGAGAGTACCAAAGAGCACCACGGAGAACATTAACTGAGCACCTACTGTGTGCTGGGCACGTGTCAGATACTCTCTCATCTAGTTCTTATCAGAGAACCAAGACGTCTTCACTCCTGTTTCACAGGTAAAGGGGTTAAGGATCAGAGAGGTTCATTGTCACTTCAACCAGGAGACAAATCTATTGTACCTGATGGTCTGCTGAGAGAGGAGGAGGAGGCTGAGAGAGAGGGAAGGAGAAGAGGAGGACATTGACCCCAAGGCCTTTCTCACTGTGCATTTATTTTTGGTAACTGCTGCGTTTAAGGTGCAGATTCATTGTACATCGTGGGCTTTGTGTGCCTCCTCTCCTTTCCTGTATCAAGACCCCTGGAGATAATAGGATGAGGTCTCCCATCTCGAGCGGGACCCAGGAAGCCTCTTGCTAGACCCAGGGCATGCGGCTGGCTGGTGTGTCTCCATAAGAGCTGTTGCTGTGGTCTCCATCTGAGCATCGCAGAAAGGAAATGCCAGCACTATTTGCTGATGGAAGGGAGTGATGTCAAATACTAACATGGTGTGGCCAGGTTCTGCCAGGCTGGACAAAGGGGAGGGCCCGGTGAGCAGAGCCTGCACGAAGGGACCTGCAGCACCCTGCCCATTGCACACCCATAAGTTCCATTCCCTCCCAGTACATGGAAGCTCTTTTATTTCCCACAGAGAAAGTAGGTAAAATGACAGCACTCTTAATTTTCTCAAAAGAAAATAACAATATAGTAAGATAAATAATAATGGAATATTAATATGATATATTTTTTAAAGTTTATTTCACGAGCAAGAGTGACAGAGAGAAAAAGAGAGAGTGACACCCCAAGCAGGATCCTCATGCTGCTAACCATCTGCAGCCTCAGCCAGCCCCAGATCATGGGCACACAGGCACCTGGTCTGTTTAGAGAGGTCTCTGGGTGTGAGCCTGGAATTTTCCCCTGTGGGTGTGGGTCAGCTTCCCAGTGTGGTGTGACCCCTGCACCACTGTCTAATCCCAAATACGCTTTATTTATTTATTTATTTATTTATATGATCTATTTAACTTTACTTATTCATTCATTTTTAATTTGACTAGAGATACACACACACACACACACACACACACACACAGAAGGTGAGAGAGCAAGCCACCAGGTCCAGGACTCGAACTGTGGTCAGCCATGTGGGAGTACCTAGCGCCTTAACCACCATGCCGCCTGCTGGCCCCCCATTCATCAAGACCTCCAAATACGCATTTTAAATGGTGGATCAGACTGGCTTCATGGCCTCATGGATAAGGCAGCTGGATCCCACATGGGGTGTCCTGGACCCAATCACTTGAGAAACATGGGTACATGTGTGTGCATGACCAAAATCCCGAAAGAAGGGAGAGATGAGAAGGGATTGTGGCATGACCATTCTTCAAGGGGTGGGGGAGTGTTTTCTCTCCTCCCTCTCGCTCTCAGTCTCTCTGTCTCTTGCTCTCTGGTGAGTGCACACCCTCCCCCCCCAAAAAAAAAGAAAAAGGCTTTGTGCCTTGACCATGTCTGCACAATATTTGATGTCCCTGGTTTTACTCTAAGAAATTGGTAAGAGCTAAAGGCAGAGTGAAGGCCCTAGTTCATCCACAATTCACTATATTTTGGGGGAAGACAAGATGAAAAGATGACTTGACAGCAGGACCCCTGTCAAAAAGTGTTTCCTCTCGCCTTGCTCTGCCCTCCTGCTCAAGGGCAGGATGCATGGCACATTTCGGGCCTGGTCACAGGGCATCGCAGACCCCACCCCTCCTCTTACCTCTTCCCTTTCTGTACTTCCCAGTGCTGCCAACAGGGATGTGAGCCGTCCTTACAACAGGCAGAGGAAAGAGGGAGGGGTTAGGAAAATCATCCAGGGAAAACGTAATTTCTTTTGTTACACAGAGAACCAATAAAAGGCCTCCAAATAAACTTCATTGCAGTATTGGAACAGAACATTAAACTTCATGCATTTCATCACACCAATGATAATGACTGTGCCCCAGGATGTTACTTGGGATAGCGTAATTCTGAGAAAGAAATTCCATGTAAACTGGCCTAGCGAGAGGTGTCACCTCCTGCCCAGGAAAAGCCCCCAGTTCCGCTCACATGTAATGTTCCGCTCAGGGCTTAGGACCCTAGCACGCTTGATCTGGCATGGTTTAAGATAAGGTGCTGCTGTGCCGATTTGTCCTGGAGGCCAATCTCTTCTCTGAGATCGCCAGGGTTATGATAGAACAAGGGGGTGTTTCTGTATCCCGGTACAACATCCAGCTCAGAGTTCCCACATTAAGAAATAACAAGCACAAGGAACGAATTTGAAAGCTGCAGGTAGGGAGACCTACTTTTGCACTGTGAAGTTGCTTATTCTCCTACCTGCCCTGTATCCCTTCATTTTGGAGATGTGGGTAAGAGAGTTGTTCAAGGGACCCCCACTTCCCCACCAAAGGATGAGTGTGTGACATAGGCTGGCCTGTCCATTTATACTCTTGGCTCCAGTGATTGGTTCAGGAGTGGGCACAAGATTCTAGAGGAGCCAATAAAGATTTGAGTGGGAGGGTCATTAATGGGCGCTGGGAGAGCAAGGCTACCCTTTTCAGATGCTGAGCTGTGGTATCCATGTTAAACTGAAGCTTCTAGAGCCCACCAAATGGAGAGTCTGGTAGAGAGTGAAGCCAGGATAGAGGAAAATGGAGCAGGTTGATAAAGATAAACCACAGTCTAATGACATAGTTTGAACCCCTTGATCTAGCCATACCTGCAGCTTGAGATTTGGGTTGATTTCCAAGTTCTGTGAGCCAAGAAATACATTTCATTTAAACTATTTCAAGTTGGATTTCTATCTTTTAACATAATTCTGAGCAAACACACGTTCCTGTCAATGAAAAATAAGGAATAAAATAATGCTCGACTGAGAAAATAGGCAGTATCTCTACTTTCTACGGGAGAAAAAAAGGAGGTAAAACTAAAGTTAAAAAGAAAAGGAGGTTGGGAGGGAGGGCTCGGAAACAACAGTATTTAACAGACACCAGAATGGAAAGCTACTCGGTATGGTAATATCTTTCACTTGCTTGACATGCTTTACTTTTTATGCTTTGAGAACCCATATTGTATGCTGCTAAGATGTAGGATGATTAAATGTAAATTAACAGATAAATAAAAAACAGGAAAAAAAGGTTCGAGTGAGTGATATTACCATTCAAAGGCCCTCCCCCATAGAAAAGCAATTAAAAAAAATAAACTTATTTATTTATTCCACAAGTGAGAGAAAGAGAGACACAGTACCCTCAACGGGGTCTTGATGCTGTATCCACGCCTAGCCTTCAGCCAGCCCTGGTCCACCATGGGCAAACACATGCCCAGTGCATTCAGGGAGGTCTCCAGACTTGAACTGGGGTCCTTCCCAAGTGGTATTACCCTGCAGAGCATCATATTTTACTGCTGTACCACTGTCTGGGCCCTAGAAAAGAATTTTTCTGTTGAAATTTATTGGGGGGGTTGGGAGGGGTCTCAGCTCCCAAATACATGAGCACACTCCCTCTGGAACAAGATGAAACGGAAATGCTGAGCTCCATGGTGGAAACCGCAGATTTCAGCTGACCACTGGCAGTTCTCGATGACTGGAATCACGCTTGGCTAGGGTAGCAGTTTTGTCTAAGGTACATTTTGTCTAGTATGATAAGATGTCCTGTCCTGGATTGTCACAAAATTGCAGAATGGAGAGATGACTAAGGTGAGAATCCTAGCTTACCATGGGAATCAGGAAGATCGACAAACAAACGTAAGGCTTTTTCCTTAAGCTGTTTGTTTCCCCCAGGTTGCTCCATCTGTGGAAGGATGTTCTGGCCCAGGTAATTGTCCCAGGAATTTTACCACAGAGATCCTTTTGTTTAGCCCTGCTTTCTGTCCTTCCTCCTATTTCGGTAATAGGTAAAAATTCCCGGCTGGGTGTAACACAACTCTCTCTGGTGTTGCCCTACCCTCACTCTCCCCGAGCCCTCTGAGATGAATGAATTCCATGTAGAGAAGGTTGTAAGTTGAAAGACCTTTGGCCTGGGTATGCTTTTAGGTGAGACTTAATGTTCAGACAAGAAACTTTTTTTTTTTTTTTGGAGAGAGATTTTCACTGTAGGGCGCGTGCGCTCGCCAGACAGACAGAGAGAGACATAGAGACAGAAAGCGAGAAATCACCCCCCAGGGGGGATGGTCACGCCGCAATCCCTTCTCCTCCATTCTCCTCTCAGGATCTTGGGCACGCACGCACACACGCCCGGCGTGAGTTTTAAGCCACCGGGTCCGGGACACGAACCGCGGTCGACTACGTGGGAGTCCAGCGACATAGCCATTACGCTAACTGCTGGTTCCCCAGACAAGAAACTTTTATCGATGGATATAAAGTGCACACTTTGGGACCAGCAGTTAGCGTAATGGCTATGTCACTGGACTCCCCCATGTAGTCGACCGCGGTTCGTGTCCCGGACCCGGTGGCTTAAAACTCACGCCGGGCGTGTGTGCGTGCGTGCCCAAGATCCTGAGAGGAGAATGGAGGGGAAGGGATTGCAGTGTGGCCATCCCCCAAGGGATGATTTTTCGCTTTCTGTCTCTCTGTCTCTCTGGTGAGTGCACGTGCCCTATAGAAAAACCTCCCCCCCCAAAAAAAAATGCACACTTTCACCTTGAATACTCACAGTGAAGGGCAAAATAGCTCTGAGAACCTGAGAGGGCTAGGCCAATCTTTGCCAGTGCCATAGCGATGCTACTGGCGGATGAAGCCCATCTGCTGCTTCTTGCAGTCAGCGAAATGAGAAGGCCCCTTGCACCATCTCTGTTTAGCAATCTGCCCTGCCTGCCAGGATGTAGAGGATGGCCCCGGGCAGGCCCTGGATTCCGATGTTGCTTTAGTTTCTACCCAGTGACATCTTCAAACCTCCTAGTCCCA